TTAATATTTAAGACAACAAAGGGCGAGGATAAATAATACAAACGTCTATAAAACTTCTTATTAGATCCAGCCATTACAGGAATCTCGTTTTTCACGGTATTTCGACGGTGATCTGCTCGTGAACGAGACATAAAAAGTGTTCGTCACAGTATCAGACAATAAAAAAGAGGGGACATTGTCATTGAATACGGTCGATGATCGTATAATGAAAATTCACTTTATTGGGTGATGTCCACTCCAACTCAGACTATAAACAGCTCCCCCTTACGTCCAGCATCCGTACTAAGTTGTGACTCAACTGTTCCTTTCTCTCTTCCAGCAATTTTAAGCTTTGATGTTACTTTTATGTGGCCAAGTGTCACATTTTGTACTCTCCGACGATTCAACCGTTCAATTCTGTAACTTCGTTTTATTGAAGTCTCTTATTTCAGCCTAATGTGTTTCTTCCTTATCTCTCTATCTTGTTGTTTAGTTCGAGATAAGCAAAATACGAAGAATGTCGTATTTACTAAATCTGTTCAAATCGTAAATTTTAAGCCTGTTGAGAGGGACGTAACTCTTCTTTCCTTGCAAGTTATAAATCTGAATGAGTTTATGTACAGTACATGATAAGCTTTGACTACCTGTACGACCTGTACAACAGTTAATATTATCTGATAATTTCGAACACTTACGTTCGTTCATAATTTTTTAAACGTTATCATTAATCATAAATGTATAATATAATATTGTAAACACATCAATACATTATTAACTGGTCAGTAATCGATTGCAACTTATTCGTGTAGATTTTAATCGATTACATTTATTCATACAGAATTAAATCGATTACATTCATTTATAAGTTGAAATAAATTGTTAAGAATAAGAAAGATCAAGTACAATTCATTTTTAGATTTAAAATAATGATTGAACGTAACTGATTTCTTCTTCGTTTATAACAATTAATTTCAACATATAATAACCAGCAACGAGTTGCTTAACTTTCCCGGCAACAGCTAAAAGTGCGTGCGGCGCCAACTGTTATGGTATTTTATTATTAAAAACTTTTTATATTTTTAACTATTATAAAATGGCAATGAGCTTAATTTCGAGGGTAGGAATGGGTTTTATAAAAAACTATAAATGCTAATAACGAATAAAATCGTCATTAAGTCCAACCCTACTAGATATACACGAACCCCTCTATCTTTTCACCCCTGGACCTTTAATCATCAAAATTTAACAGCATTAATTTCCCTAATACACAAACCTCCATGAAAAATTTCAGAAATTTTCGACAAGAAGCCCAGGAGTTATTAAACTTGAAAATGAATAAACAAAATCTGCCCCCACACACATCCATCCATACATACAGAAATTACCTCCGAATTTTTACGCATTTCTCGACGTTTTAAGGTGTCCCAAGTCTAAAAATGTAAAAATCTTGGGGGTCATTTTTGACCGATCGCCATACTTTCCCTCTGTTATATATTACAGTCAGGAAAGTGAAAATGTAATCGATTTAACTCTATATGAATGAATGTAATCGATTAAATCGACTGATAGAAATGAATGAATGTAATCGATTAAATCTACTGATAGAAATGAATGAATGTAACTGATTTTTTTCATTCATAATAGTTAATTTCAAGTAAAAATGTAATCGATTTAACGAATGCAATCGATTAAAATTGCCACGAATGAATTATATAATCGATTACTGAAGTTATTTATGAATGGAATGTAACTGAATTATTTAAAAAATATTTTAACAAAATCGATTTTCCCGTAATTAAAAAAAATATATATATACTGTATACTATTATAATTATAATATAGTGAGTTTTATAGGAACTCATACGAGTTTAATTATGAATTTTTTTGATGCTCAATTTTAAAAATAACGCAGTGAACTTTTTATAAATTGAATAATATTAGAATCAAGTTTGGACTATAGAAATAGGCTTTTAAAAATTGTTAGCCTTTAAAACTAGAACCAAACATTTTGTAAAGAGATTTAACTTTCTTAACTATAGCGCTATAAAGGAAAATGGAAACTCATTAATTCTGTCTAATTTATAATATTTAATGGATATTTTTATAAAAATGCAAAAAAGGGTCGTTTCAGCAAAGCAGAAAGTTGGCCACAAACTCGGTTAGAATTTTTAAGTGCGACAATAAAACGAGATTGTGAAAGGCAATAAAGTTGCATTCTAACGTAATGGCGAAGCGGAGACGGTGCTGGGAAAATACGAGTTATAAATCTTTCTGCATTTTGTTTCCTCACTAATGGGTCACCTCAGTTACTCACTGCGCTCTTTTCTGAATAGCGTCTAGAAATAATTGAAGAACTTACCCATCTGTCTTTAACAGTTATTTTTCTTTAAGTACAAAATTATACTTCCAAAAAACAGATATAGTATTATTTTTTCGACTTCTTTTTCTTTTGTTAAATTAACACAACAATTGTTATCTGCTGCAAATGAATAACCAGCACATCTAATTAACGTCGATCCCGTGCAGTCCTGAGTAAAGAGTAAGCTGGGCCTTTTGGTTCGAGCTCCGAATATAGTAGGGCATCAAAAATATAGTTTTTTTTTAATGTTTTATACATAAGTTAATTTTTTTCTTGTTTTATTTATTTTGTTGATTTTATATGTTTTTATGACTTTCGGAGAGAATTGGGATCCCACATTTGTCATTGGACTAGGCCCTCGGCCGTTTAGAGCTTATATGGAGCCATGGGTGGAGAGGGGCCCCTGTAGTCATTTTTTAAAACAAATGAAAGATGTAGAATGTTTCTTTATTAATAAAAAGCAGTTTAAACGATTTAATTTTCTGTTAATAAATACAGTAGCGCGTTATCCTATGGGCAAAAGGGAAAAATATCTGGTGCTCCTTCTAGTAGAGGGCCTCAAACCAATCTTTTATAAATATATATATATATATATATATTTATCCAATCTCAAACCAATCTTTTATAAATATATNTTTGTTATATATATATATATATATTTCCCCCAAAATATTCACCAGAAGAAAAATGCCTGAAGTCCACACTGTACAGTACACGGTGGTTCCTAATTCAAATTCGCCCGGGCCATACGAGGATATAACGCGCCAATGAGTAAATATAATATTAATTTTATATGGTTAGGAATCACTAAGAACCCGTAAGTTCTTTCCAGGTCTGGAAAAAATACTTAGCCTCCCTCTCGACGGGCGGGATTCCCAATCCCACCGAATGGAAACGGTAGAACGGAATTCCCTAGGTAGAGTGGAAACGGGCCCAGTGACAAAATCAAGTTTAACTACGAAAAATTTGACTACAAAATTATACTTATGGAAAAAAACAATATTATTTTCGTTGACTTTTTTGAAATTAACACCACTCATACTTACTGAATATTAATAATTAACATTGAAAGCCAGAGAGAGCTATATGGCTGGGGCATCTCGAGTCCCTTTATATAGCCCTTCTGATGTGACGCTCTCAGTTTATTACTATTCTCTTCCCCTCTTTATGTAGTTGCAGTTACATAAATTAATTTCGTAGATATTATAATTAAATTTTTATTACACAAATTTCGTCCGGGCCCTCTCTATAGGCTTTGGTTCCGTGGCTACAGCCCTATCTTCCCATCCCTGGCATCGGCCCTGAGATTAGAAGAGCACTTTGGCTCGCTCTCGAGACACAGAGGGGCCCCAAAATTTAGTTTTTATATTTTACACATAAAATTTCTTTTGCCCTTTCGGACAAAGCTAGGGCTCTATATTTGTAATTGAACCGATGCTCCGGAAAGTATAAAATGGGCCTCGGGCCTACCTATCGATCAATTAACGTATTTAATCATTTTAAAATTAATTTATAATTAAATAGTTAAATTTAAACATTTTATATTATGCTTTAAGTTATTTATTATTAATGATTTGTTTAAAAATAAAATTTTATCTAACAGTACGTTATAAAAAAACTTCATATTTTAAATTTTAAAAACTATTACGCTGCTGCCATCTATTGGCGAAATTTTCGGCAAATCCTTCATATCTTCAGGTGAAATTGAATATTGTGTAGATTTTCAGTTTTGATTGATATTTTTGTTTACTTAGTACCAAGAAAATGATCTAAAGATATATCTGATGGCATTTAATTCTTCAGAATTCATATAGGAATAGGAGAATTGACTGTTAATTAGACCTATAAAGTGAAGTAATAAAATAGTAATGAAATATGTGACGTCATTCCTGAACATTTTTGATAAAATTTCCCAAATTAGCAGTAAAACATAAAGAAAAAAACTAGAGGAGATGAGGAAAACAAATATTAAAGTTAACATAGAATAACCTCTAAAAATACCTGAAAGTATTTTATTTAAAAAAAAAAAAATACAATGATACTAAATAGGGTTGATTTATACAAATTAAGCATTTAAACAATATCACCAATAATAATTCTAAAAATATGTAAATTAGCTTGAGTTCAGTTATTAGACACCACTTCTATTGTGACGTAATATTCATCACTCCCTCTTCCCAACATAATTTTAATCAGTAATTAATTAAAATAAACTTAATTTTCATTGGTTTTCTTAGCGCCATTCTAATAATGACATTGTATCTTGCAAAATTTGAATTTTAATATATATTTTTTTAAAAAAAATTTCGTGTTAATTAAGAGTTTATTATAATTATATTTAAGTTAAGTATAAATGAATGCCTTATACACTTTTTTTTGGTTAATAAATCTTCTTAAAAAAATTATCGATAATTCTAACTTAGCGATTCAATCAGAAAGTGACGTATAATATTTATTTTTACGTCACTTCCTGTGGGAGTTAATTTTCACCTCAAAATCGCTAATTGGTTGATCACGATTCAAATTTTTTCCGTTATTTTCGCCTTTAAATTCTAGAATATTTTAAATTTAGTTTATAATACCTGTATAACGTTCTAATAATAATCGAAAAATTAGAGAATAAATTAACTTATAAATTAATTATTAAATAATATAGAAAATATTTTAATTTAATAATATTTTATTACATCAAAAATTTTGTTTTTACATGTCACATTCTTCAGGCAGGACACACAAACCGTCCGGAGCTCTAACGTATCCGTATTTACAAAAACAACCCTTAACACATTGTGAAGTGCAGGGTTTCACAACCTTTTGGTAATTTTCGCAAGTGTCAGGGCAGGCTGTGCCACATATTCTATATACTTCGTTAGAGTCACGACATTTTACTTCAGACACGGCTAGAAACCAAAGTAAATTTAATTGAAACAAAGGAATTTAATTGAATTTAATTGAAAAAGAATTTAGTTTTACCTCCAGTAAACTCGAATGCAATAACTCCAAGAAGAAAGAGGAAAAAGAAAGCCTTCATCTTGATGATAGGTTAACTTAGGAATGATTAAGGGCTACTGAAAAATATCAGTTGCAGATGTTTTTTCTTGTTATTTTTCTTTGTTTTATCTAATTATATAACGATAAGATTAGCTTGTAAAATTAAAAATATTGTTGATTTAATAGATAATTTATTTCAAAACATAATGTAATATGATTAGGAGTATTATCTCGAATTAGTATTTAACAATTAATAAACTTTTCCTTGTAAATCTTCAAAAATTATAATTAAAATTATAAGAAATTTTTTTTAAATGAAAGAAGAATCAGAGCATAAATTTATATTGTTTTAAATAATTGTGTTTATTTTTTATTTTATTTTATTAAAATTATATTGTGTTTGTATAAAACAATATAAATTAAATTATATTTTAATGGATAGTTGAGGAAACTAATTATTTAAAATGTCCACGTTTGATTCGTCTAGTTGATTGATGCTACTCAACAACTATAAATAGGTAAGGTATTTGCATAATGGAAACAATGACCAGTCGTTAACAGGTGGAATTATACGTGTGAATAACTCACGTGTTGTTAAATAATATTTATTCGAAAATTATAATGGTATGCATGAATCATGTCCATCTATTTAACACGATTCACCCGACGCGACGGCCGGATCACCGAGGCAAGTTAAAGGCCCTTTCACACGATCCGGATGTTTGCCAGTCCGTGCAAATACCCGGATGATACGAAAGAGGCCTTAAAAGCCGGCGCATACTAAGTAATGCTATTTCTTTCGGCGTGATTTTACAAAACAAAACTACCGAGCAATAGTTTGTAGAGGGGTAGACGAAATGCTCATCGGTTCTGTGGAACTACGTCACGAGTGATATCACAAGCAGCGAATTTGCTCGATAGTCGAAGCAAACTAGTCACGTGATCATAAAATTTGCTTCTGACGTCACGTCGATAGCAATGTCATTACTTAGTTTGGCCGGTCTTAAGTCATCAGCCTACCACTCTGGGGACCCGGGTTCAAATCCGGACGAACAACCTCAAGAAATGTTTTGCCTCGAATATGTCGGGTCTATTCCTCACCATCCAGCTGGCCCATTGTGGGCATGGCCAAACGCATAATATTTATAATCTCAGGAAAGGTCCTCTTAATGCCCATAGCGGAAAAAGTAAAAAAAAAATAAAATAAAATAACACGATCTGTCTAGAGTATAATATTTATTTATTCTTTAAGTGAAATTTTACAATAGTCGTTAAGCTATTTTACAGTGATATTTCGTGTATTTAAAATGCTACCCTCTTCATATTTTTAATGATAATTTTGATCGGCAAGAATGTTCTTTATATATCAATGTTTCAATTCGTTTTTTGAAATTCGATGGATCATGCATAGCTATTTATAAAATACTTAAAAAACTGCCAATGTATTCTATAGTTGCAAATTTAAACGGCATTTTTGTAACACGACTATTTGCATGCTTGCGTTAGCGCTTTATGGTATCTCTTTTCAGTTATTTATTTATTTATTTATTACGCTGACTCTCGAAAATGCCGTCAGGCAGTTGGTTTCTATCCCCATATATAATAAGTCCCCCCAAAAAACTAGTCAAATTACAATAAAGTAAAGAAAAAAACAGAAAGAGTTATAACATAAAATATGAAAAATAATCCTAAGATCGTTGTCTGCGTTGTATTTGTGCAATACGTGAGTATTTAAGAAAAGGGGTGATAGAGGCGGATTACCGAGTAAAGAAAATTTGAAGTAAATATTGTAAAATTTATTCTTATACTACATAATTTTTTAATTAAAAGTTTGAAAAAACTTGCTTCGTGTGTTTTCCCTAATTATAATTAACTTCTGAATGCATAAAAATCGAAAGAGATATCAGTTCATGGACAATTCACGAAAGTAGAGATTGGATCGATGAAATAAGACAAGTAACACTTGGGGATCTGTCTGGAGGACTTTCTTTGAGAAAGTGGTTCCCATTTAGGTGTTAGACAAATAAAATAAACCCGAAAACTTCAGGTGACAAGTCAATTGATCAGGTGAAAACCAGTGTTTAAGCGTTGTTTCAATTCGGCACACAAATATGATTTCATTCCTCTCCGATAGATTTAAAAATAAACGAAGTAATTAAAAAAAACTCTTTAATTTATATCACTTTTGTATAATGTATTTTTATAAATATAAAATATTAAATTTTGAGGTCTCACAATGTTCGGGACACGATCAAAATGGCTCTGCGCCCAATATAAATTCTTTTACACTCTTCAAATTGAAATCTCTACGCTACGAAGGAATGTGCACAAACCACATGCAAATTTCAGGACTGTAGAGGTGACAGAGATATGCAAATGATTAAGTTGCCGTACGCATCCGGTCATGTGGTGCCCAGTTTCGGGCTAAAAAGATTAGCAACCGGTTCGAACCGCAAATGTTATCAGCGACGGTTCGTGGCAGCCAAACTATAGAAGAAGCGTAGAAAATGTCTCGGAGACAACAGCGAACCGAATACCATCAGTTAACGACTGGGGAACGAGACCGTATCCTGAAGTTGTGTAATCTCGGTTTGTCGATGCACGCAGTTGCCGTGCGTGTTGGGCAGGATGTGAGTACCATCCAGAGATGTGTGACATGATAGACTCAGGAACATCTGCGAACACGTCGAAGAGGAAGTGGATCGCACCAGCTACAACAGAATACACAGACTGGCAGATTCGCCAACGGCCCGTCGGGACCATTTCGCTACGGACGTGACGTCCGAAACCTGTCACCGTCAACGGGTGTATCTGTGTCCACCCAAACCATTCGCAACTGGTTACATGAACTCGGGCTGCACACAAGGCAACCAGCAACGAGGCTGCCAAACCGCTCGACACAGGGCTACACAGTGTTGTCGTCATCGCAACAGGACCACTAAATATTGTTTACAGATGAATCCCACCTCTGTCTGTGAAGCAATGATGGCCGCGGAAGAGTGTAGTGGTATCCCCGAAAACGCTATGTGCCAGCCCTTTTCACCTAGCGTCACGACGGTTTCACACTGGGCATTATGGTTTGAGATGGCATCATATTCGATCAGTGCACAATCCCGGTGCACATTTTCGGTGCTCTGACAGCGGACCAGTACGTCACATGAATTGGGAGCCTGTGGTTCGGCCTCTGGTGCAGGCTGCACCCGATACAGTGTTCTAGCAAGATAATGTCCGATTGCACGTCGCATGCTGAATTCTCACCAGCCTGAACAGAATTCACATCCTTCTCTGGTCGGCAGCCTCGCCGTATCTATTTCTCATCGGACACCTTTGGGACCTCGTTGGTGCACCGGGAACCACTGCTACATACCGTAGGCGACATGAGCATTGCATTATACACAGTTTGGCAAGGGATACCTCAGGCAGCAATTAATCGCCTCATTGATAGCATGCCTCGCCGTATAGCGACCTGTACAGCTGCCAGTGGGGTTCATATTAGTTACTGAATAAACAAGTGTCTGTGCGTCTTTGTTCTTTTAATCATTTTCATATATGCCACCTCTACCGATCCTGCAATGTGCATGTGGCTACACGCATTCCTTCATGGTGCTGCGATTTCACTTTTGAGGAATGTACTTGATGAATATATTAGATAAAATTACATTAATTTAAATATAGTATAATTCCCGAATTTGATCTTTTAGACAACAGCGCGAAAACATCGACTATAGTCTCTTAATGAAATTAAACTTAACAATTCGATGAAAGATTATAAAATGTTTATTTAAAATTATTAGAACATTTCATGAATATTTGAAAGAAAAGTATCATTGATATACCGAAATTAATTTTGGTATGAAATTATTTAGAATTATTGCTTTTGTAAAATAAAAATGAAAAATCTTTAAAACAGAACATTTGAAATGTAATGAAAATTACAGAATAATTCGAAAATTTTCAAGATTTTTATTTGCTTAATTAAGAATGATTTAAAATCATTCTTAAATTAATCAGATTCGCATTCTTCTGGAAGTATGCACAAGCCGCTTGGAGCTCTTACATATCCCTTTTTGCAAAAACAGCCTGAAACACACATTTTGTTACAGATCCTTACTGGATTTTGATAATTATCGCAGGTATCTGGACACGCAGTTCCGCATTTTCGAAATTCTTCTAAATCCCCACAATCATCACCTGAAAACAACGATGAAATATTGAAATTATGATTTATTACTGAATATTCAAGTGGTATTTTGCTATAGTTCGAAACAGATCTGCGAAGATTTTTCCATTTATTGCAATGAATTGAAAACCTCGAATTTGTATTTGCTAATGCATGACACGACACCACGATATGGACTATTCGACATGAATTATCATGAATGAAGAATCTCAAGTTCTTATTCATGATGATTTATTAGGAGAGATGAAACTCACAATAGGGTGACTTCATTATAGAACTACAGTAGAGCGTCGTTTATCCGAATCAATTGGGAACTGGGGTTGTTCGGATAACTTATTTTTCGGATAACCGATTATATACGAAAAATACATTAACCTATCCCGTTGAAATTTTTCTCCGTTGCGTTTCGCTTTGCGTTGATTTTTCGTCGATGTTAAGCATAACGTAAACTTTTTAAAATAATAATCGTGGCTATTGTATCGTTAAAAATTATTTCTTTATTTTTTACAAACAAAATAAATATAATGAAAAGTATAAAAACAAAAAAATTATACTTTAGAAGCTAATCTAGTATCAAAAACGTTCTATTCAGCATGACACACAGTCCTCAGAAAAACACCACACAAAAGAGCCACTGCTGCATACTAAAGAAAACACAACAACAAAAAAAATATTGGAGTAGCCCAAGATGTAGCCAAAGATTGCAGCGCCACAGCACTAGCGAAAATTTAAATTTTTCGACTGGAATTCTTTCGGATAACCGACGCTATACTGTATATCTATAATCTCATCGTCTTATCGGTCAGATGACCGAGCGATTAAGGTGTCATTCTACTATCCTGGGTGACCCGGGATCGAATCCTGATGAATAAAATTCTTTTTATTCATCAGGATTCGATTTCTGGTTTCATCCCCAAAAAATCCTAGGAATTTTTTGGGAATGAACCGTCCTGATACCGTCCGACCAATCGAACGACCCATTATGGACCTGATGAAACTCACCTCTCTATGCCCATAGGGAGGAAAGTTTAAAAAAAAATCTCGTTTTCTTAACAGGCCGACTAATTTCAATGGATTAAAATGGATAAAGAGCGGGAAATATCAACTTAACTTGAGCTATTCGCGAATTTCAGAATGAATCCAACACAAATCCATTTTGTAAACTGAGAACTTTTCATTGCAAGAAATACGCAAAATTAGTGTTCAATTTTCTTTTAATTACAAGGGAAATTCTTGTACGTATTCTCATGCAATGAAAGAATATCAGCTAATTTGAACACTTTTGTGTAAACTGTGCAAACAAAAATAATATTAAATTATATCTTACCTCTTGCGAGGACAATAGCAACAGCAAAGACAGTAGCGAATAAGAGAATGGTTTTCATCTTGAAAATTTGATTCTGAATCGAAACAGAGGGTTTATATATATACAAATTTTCGGACTGAGAAAGGGACATCTGGTTTACAATGTTACTGATATTTTTGATAATTAACGATAAGATTAAGAAACAAGGATTTTCAAAAAACTTATACAAGGTTAATCGGTAAAAGCGTTAAAACTTCATAAACTTAGATTTTATATATTAAAAAAGAACAACCCGAAAAATCCATTGAAAAATTTATAAAAAAAGAAACGAAATTTATTCTGTTTTCACAGTATATAGTCATAAGATTGTTAATATTTAGCATAGGCTTAATCTCCAATTTGTTTTGTATATTTGACTCTTTCCACCCTTTGGATATTAAGCGGGCCGTTTTATCCATACTTATTGTAAAGTTTATTCTTAGAAAATACAATTTCATAATTAAAAATTAGAAAGAAATTCGTGCGTTTTTCCTAATTATGATTAATTTCTAAATGTATAAATTAAGGCCCGTAGAGATGAGACGAGGCGTGAACGATTTACAAAAGTGAGAATTGAATCATAAGACTCGGTAGAAGAAAGCCGTCAAGTAATAGAGCGAACGAGCTGGAATTAGAACGCTTTTCGGTTTGTTTGTTTGGTTAAGTTATGGCAACGCAACACTTAAGCGATCTGCCTAGGGTATGGTTTCCGAGATGTCTTTTTAAGGGTTACTGGCCCCTATTCATGCGTTACAGACGCGAAGAGAACCCGGAATACTTCACGTGGCCAACCCGTCCTGGCTAGGCGCGAACCCACGACTGAACTCCCAGTGTTCAGGGAACGGAACCGCTTGGCCACTGGTGGGCCAGAACATTTCCCGGACTGGAACTGTTGGAACTGATTCGAGTCCAAACTCTTTCGACAGAACAGTTTCTCGGAACTGCTTAGTCTGATGGATTACACGTTTCCACAGTATCATTATATTTTGTCGGAATTGCTGTTGGACTCGGCGGTTTCGTATGTGTTTTTATATACGGTATATACAGTGCCGGCCAGAGGCAAGTTTTAGGGTGGAGCTAGATCCTATTATGGCGCCCCCTTGGTTGCCGCTAATTTATATCCTTTAATTTTCTTTACCACTGAAACGCCCACTAGGACTTAGCGCCTGGAGCGGCTGCTCCATTATAATATTGTTTTATTACAGTTTGGTACAGATCGGGCAGAAGGTTTAGGAGTTAATAAAAGGAATGAAATCAGGAGAGCACCTATTCTGTTATCTATATACCGTATATAGATACATATACGGTATATAGATAATAGAATATGTGCTCCTCCTGATTTCATTCCTATTATTAATTCCTGAACCTTCTGCCCGATCTGTACCAAACTGTAATAAAAGAATATTTCGGTTTTCAAACGCACACTTGACGATGCATTACAGATTTATTTCATTACTAATTATTCCAAAGTTCATTTCATTATAAACAGTTTGAAGGAATTATTATCGCATTATATACATTTTAAAACAACAATGAAAGAAATTGTGATCTGTAATGAACGCACCGCCAAGTGTGCGTTTAGATGTTAGATACGTAAAGAAAATCAGTAATCTCCACGTGATGAGGATATTGATCGGGTGAGAACCAGTGTTTGGGTGTTTTATCCATTAGGTCATTGGTGGGCCAAAAATAAAAACTTATCAATGTCCGATAGCCTTAAAAATAAACGAATTAAATAGAAAAAGTTTTAATCACTTTTGTATAATGTTTTTTTATAATTATAAAATATAAAGTTTCGAGGTATCACGATGTTCTAGGTACCATC